ATCAGTCAGTTCCTGGAACAACTTGGTGTGGTCACTTTGTCCTTCCACCTGCCACCTATCCTGTGGGAGAAGGGAGAGATACAACTCAAGATACTGCTCAGTGGAGTTACCATAGAGCTGGCAACTTAGCCACAGCTTAGGGAAGATTAGACCACCTGAAATTTTGTGACAGATGACATTAATTTTCAGAACATTTCGGTGTCGCCGGGAATTTGAATTGTTAAGGCACCTTGCATAGTCCAACAAAGTGAGTTTTGTCTTTCTGTGAAAATTGGTTATTAAATAATCAAATTATAGTAGGATGGAGTTTTCTAGATTCATTTTCAGTGCTACTTTAATTAGCTGAGTCTGTGAGTCGTTTTGCTTCCCTCGGTTGTCAGATGTACATTCTTTGTAAAAAATCAAAGAGATTCTTTTAAAGATCCTGAACCAACCGGAGTAAAGCAGATGTTTCTTTTCCAACCTTCTAACATCACGATACTGGAATCTCTTGCTTTGAAAGTGCTATCCAGAAGTAACCTCCAGTGGCTTTAGAGTTCTACCAGTACCTATAGCAAGTCCAACTTCTCATACTTCAACTTGAGCTTCAGTCAAAGGCTCAGCCATTGCCCTGCTACAGAATGACAGCCCATGTTCTGAAAATGTCTTGATCAGGTTTCCTGGGAGTTTTGTTAAACTAGCAACATTAGAAACCTGCAGTGTTAGTACTAAATGTGATGAAGGGAACATCTTACATTATCAATATCTTTCTGCAACAGTATTGACTATTTGGTTTGTACAACAAAAACCTGAGATTGGAAATAATTCTTTCTTTTGCTCCTCGTATATGCATCAAGTCGTCATTGCTGGGATTGGATTATCCTCAGTTATTACAGAAATCAAAGCGACTGTAGTTCTGGAAAGCTGCTTTGACGATAAGGATGTAGGAATGGACGGTGGGTAGGTTCCCTGCAGATAGAAGTCAGCACAGCTTCATTAACCTCGTACAATTGTTCTGATTTATAGACTTTTCTCAGCTACTGAATGTAATCAGATGTGGTGCGATGGTGGGATCTCCCCCTTTCCTACTAGGTTAGTGTTTTCAAATTAACATAAAGCTTGAGCAGTCTTACCGTTGATGAGTTCAATTTGCATACATCAAGTCAAATTAAATAGCAACAAAATACATTTTGAGCAAAAATAACATCACTGTTAGTAAATTATAGTTGTCTTACAAAGTAGTGGGCCTCCTGAGCAGGACCTTCAGTGCAAAGTCACTGAACAGGTTCAAGTTGCTCCTCTTGGACTGAATTTTTTAGCTTCTTGACTGTTCTAGTATTCATCTCTTTGAGAAAAAATAACTTCAGAATACCTTATCTTTTGATTATCATGCGTCTTTTAGGAATTGAGACATTTCAGATTGAAAATTGAAGACTCTGAAATCTGGGATGTTTAAAGGGATTGCAATCTTGAATGATAATTTTATGGATAATAGTTTAAAAACTGACTAAAAAACATTTTATTTACCAAAACTAGCTTGTGAAACTCACCCCAAGTTACCACAGAGGCTAAGAGGTCAGCAGATTTCAGAGATGGGTGGTTTTAGATATTCAGATTTATTATAATAAAGAGGAATGCCCCCAAGCTTGGGTTTCATGGAGAACTCAGACACTTGTGTTTCAGGACTGAACCCAACTTTCAGCTCTTGGTACCCTTACAAAACTGTGGGTGAATTATCTCAGTGCTGTTTCTCACAGTTTTCCCTTCAAAGCATACAGCATCAGGGTACCATTGGAGTCTGCTCTGCCTTTGTATGACCTTTAATCAGGTGCAGCATACTGTATTTATGTTGTGTAACTGACTCACACTTGGAATGGATGGGTGATTTTAGGTATTTGGTTACCAGAGTATGCATAATTCTACAAATGCAATTCTACAAGTGGTAATACATGTAAATACAGTTGAAATAATGAACAGTATGAAGGGAGAGGAGATGAGACAAGAGAAGAACAGAAGAAGGGGCCAAAGAACCACTTCAAAATAAGTACTTGGGATTTTTTTTTGAATTACTATTATTATCATTTAGCATTTGTATTCAGGGGTTAAAAAAAACCACTGTAACTTGCTCATTACCTTTTTCCAACCTACCCTCAGACCTCCTAGGTCTGCAAATACCTGAAAAATATGAATTCAGGCAGCTAAAACACAACCTTTTAATTTCTCTGTTGGATCCTTCAGGCATCCCCTGTGGCTCAACCTGTTTTCTGAAGGTCAAGAGAGTTTTATTCGTCTGAGATAAGTAGCTTGAGTGTGGCATTTATAACTTGAGTAATGTTATGGATGATAACACCATTAGACATTTTTACAGCTTCAGCAGGAGTTCAGCCAGCAGGACTATCAGCCTGATAAATGCTTTTCATCTTAAAGGTTGTATTGCTACAATAACGCCGAAACTTAAAGCTGCTCCTTGAAACCTGTAGCCTGGCTAAAGAGATGAAGAGTGCCCTCTGACATTTCTCTGGATTGCAAAAGAGCTCTCTTAGGTGCCAGTGCAAGAATTAAGATGCCCACATGCGGCTGCTCTGATCTGAATTGGAATTTACTGGAGGACTTTATAATTTTAAATGAACTGGGGGCAGTGCTACTCGAAAGAATTAGCTTTAGATTGAGATGAGACTGAACTCTGATTGATGAGTCTCAACATTTTGTTCCTACCCAATTATAAAGTGTGTCTACAGGATTTTAAGAGGCAGAACTCTTATACTGCTATTTTCAGAAACAGTAGAGAGTTTCACCTCCCCTGTCTGGCTATTTTGCAGTTATAAAAATCCTAGGAGACTGGTAAAAAACTAATCTATAGAGTAGGCTGAAAGTGGTGTGAGAAGCTAGCAGTGACAACCAGTAGGATTTTGGCTTTGTAGAAGGACGTTTGCTTTGTAGAGATCTGAAAGAGAGTGGTTATGTTCTGAAGGTATACGGTGAAAGTGGCTGTGCGGTGATGATACCTGTAAAAACAGTTGAAATAGTGAGCAGAGTGAAAGGAGACGGGATGATACAAGTGGAAGAAGAGTAGGATAAAGGACCATGAAGGAAGGGAGTGTGAGATGAGCAAAAGTTGAGTTCTTGCTTTTATATCTAAGGATAGTAATCTGAGGCTTGTAGCAAACTTTGACCGCTGTTTTAACCCAGCAGCTATTTAACACAAAAATATTTGTAACATGTAATGATTACAGTTAAGGCAGCCAGATACTGTTTTTTCGTTGCTTCTGATAATGTGAAACAACTCTGTTGATTTTCTTAAGATTTTAATGACTTCACTGGAGTTCCTGTGTTAAACTGCTATTCTGGTTTACAACCTTTGGCATTTCCTAATCATCACTTTGATCATAGGAAAAATTTTAGTACTTCTTATTTTTGACGGAGACCTTTGAAGCCATGCTTTTCCTTTCTGAAACTTTCAAAAGTGCAACCATGGCAATCGCTTCCTAGGTGAGTACTATTGTATAAGTCTGATACAATACACGGCTTGAATGCTGCAATTCCAGCACGACATCTCAGAAGGAAGATAGAAAGGAAGACCTCTGACAGCAGAGGTCAACAAGAGGCTTTGAACAACAACTGTACAGGGAGATGCTAAGTAGGCTATGATTCTTCAGCTTGGAAAAGAGATGACTAAGGGATTAGATAATAGAGGTTTATAAAATTGTGACCAGTGTCGAGAACGTAAGTAGGGAACAATTATTGTGTATTTCTTTTAGTGTTAAGAGGTAAAGGTTACCAAGTGGAATTATCAGTTATCAAAGAAGAGGGAGTATTTTTTGCTGGAAGCTACAGGATTGTGCAGGGGAGGTGCTTGCTCAGTGCATCCCGTTCTTTTACTCTTCCCCAAACACTTGACCACTGTTAGAGTTATGATCCAAGGCTTGATGAATATTTGATCTGGGCGTATAATTGTTAGAGTCTTAAATTTGCAAGCACTGGAAATAGGTGGTAGACTGAAGGGTAAGTATAAGATTTGACCTTCCTTTTAGCTTCATTTTTAATGCTGGCTAGTTTTCAAGTTGATGAGTGCCTTTAAACTTGCTTTAAAACATATTTGCCTCATATGGAATTACCTGATAGCAACAGCAGCCTTGGCTAATGCATTTATCGTTTTGTGGATTTATTAATCCTTATTTCCTGATGTTTTTCTGAGATTCATCAAATATGCAGTATCTTAACCTGCTTAAAGCCTCAGTACAGAAAGTGCTTATAAAAAAGAAATTGTAGGTTCCAGTCAGTCTGACATGAATCAGCGTGCATTGGCTACGGCGAGTAGTGTAGGGGCAAGAAAAAAACTTACATTATCCATTTTTTATTTGAAACGATGGGTTGAACCTCTTCTTCATCTCTCCCTGAATGTGTAATATGTTGCCTTCCTCTTGGGCTATAATAATCTACTTCCAGTTGACTGATAATACTGCTTTTTGTCTCTGTTTTTGGAAGATGTTCTCCCACCTGCTCTGAGCTCACCAGCTGAATAACCTGTCCTCCTCTATTCAGCTTTCTATTTCTCACAAGCTGTTTGAAATCTCTGCTAAGACCTCGCTTTTGTCGGCTGTGCCTTTTGATATTATTATGACTGATGCACAGCTCGGTTTCTGCCACCAATTTCAGAAGTTTCTGTATAATCCAAGAATACTGCAGAATCTGTGGTAGCCCTTCTGCCAGCTCGCTTTAGTTGTAGTAATGGCCAAGTTCAAATAAAGTGTAATGGCTCATATTAAAAAGAACAAAAGGCACCCCACCATGAACGATTACTTGCTCACAGATTTTAGGCACATATCTCTGGACCCTGCTGCTTTAAATTCTTTCTTTATACACATCTTTGGTTGCAGTGTCCTGTTGTGACACCATTTCTCATCCCTGCCTGCTTTGCTTTCAATTAATTTCCAGCGTAGCTAGTTAATTACAAGATGCCTTCAAAGAGGAGTCCAGTGGCTGATGTTTGGTGGGACTGAGGACTGTTCTGTTATTTTCAGGTACTGTTTGGCACTGCTGATGGACAGGTTATCGTCATGGACTGCCATGGCCGAATGCTGGCCCACGTGCTCCTTCACGAGTCAGATGGCATCCTCAGCATGTCCTGGAACTACCCCAGCTTCTTGGTGGAAGACAGCAGTGAGAGCGACACGGACTCTGACGACTATTCCCCCCCCCAAGGTAATGTTTTGGCCACATCCTTCTGTTTCAGCTTTGCAAGGGCTACAAAAACATCTCCAATGCCAGGGAGTTGTCACAGCTGTATTAAAACAACAGGATGACCACAGTTCACAGAATCACAGAATCAATTTGATTGGAAGAGACATCTGGGATCATCGAGTCCAACCTTTGCCCTAACACCCCGATGTCAACCAGACCATGGCACTAAGTGCCACGTCCAGTCTTTTGTTAAACCCCTCCAGGGATGGGGACTCCACCACCTCCCTGGGCAGCCCATCCCAACACCTAACGACCCTTTCTGTGAAGAAAGGCCTCCTCATTTCTAGCCTGAACTTCCCCTGGCGCAGTTTCAGACTGTGCCCTCTTGTCCTGTCACTGGCTGCCTGAGAGAGGAGACCGACCCCCACCTGGCTACCCCCTCCTGTCAGGTCGTTGTAGAGAGCGATCAGATCTCCCCTCAGCCTCCTCTTCTCCAGGCCAAACACCCCCAGCTCCCTCAGCCGCTCCCCATCAGACTTGTGCTCCAGAACC